GGCTCTAACAGCGATGGGTGGAACTTCCCATCGCTGTTTGGCATGGTTCTGGAAACTGGTTTGGCTGAGGGGCCGCTTACCCATCGATGGGAAGATCTTCCCATCGCTGGGTGAGTGGTTAGTCAAGAACCCATGGTTTTTGGCTTAACCACGGCCTAGCCAACCGGTGTAAAAACGACCGAAAAATTCAAAGTTCTCCAAAATAAAAACCAAGTGTTTAAGACACTTATTTGATGTATTTGGCTAAGAAATCAAGTAAGACACTTTAAAAACCACGTCATTTGAGTGAAAACCACGGCTAGCCAAGTTTATGCCGTTGAATGATTTGTGTCAAACGACCAAAAGCGAGAGATGGTTTTCAAGGTGTTTTTGTTGGAGAACCGTTTAAACATGGCAAAGAGTAAAAACCAATCATAAAAAGTTGAAAACCACTTGGTTGGTTCGGACGCCAAAAACCATAGCCGATAACCGAGAGCCGAACGCCGGTTTCTGAAACCCGAACGCCGGATGGCTTGGTTTTTGGTTTGGGCGAACACCAAGTGTTTTTAATGACTTAAACATGTTTGAAAAACATTTTTTATGATTTAAGAAGTGCAATGAAGGTTTTTTGCCTAAAGAGCCAAGGTGTAAAGATTGGGTCGGTCTTGATCACAATGAAGACCGACTCAACGACACTAAGACTAAGGTCTTCGTTCTTGGTCTTCTTTTAGCTCTTGTTCTTGTCTTCCTTCTTCGCCTTGTATATTCAAAGTTTGACTTGATCACGGCGGTTTGGCATTATCAAAACCTGTCATAAAAACAAACACGGCTTTAGTGCAAAAACGTGACATGCCCGTGTTTCAACAGTAAATCCTTCTTTTCTGTCGGTAATACCTTGTTTTTACCAACATTAACATTTATTATAACTGTCGCTAAAAGTTAGATTACTGACAGAAAAAACTGTGAGCAAAACATTTTTTTCTGCCGGTAATAGCTTCTTTTGTCCAACATTTACATTTATTATAACTGTTACTAATACCAACTATTTAAGTCATATTAAATAATTTCATTGACAAATAAAAAATAATATTCATACTTGTATTAACAACAATACATAATACGATAACATTTCAAAGGGTTACAACTAACCCATTTACTAGAAAGTAAACCAACATCTCAAAAATAGTTCATCATTTAAACTAAAGTATAAACAGTCAAAGTGAACTAAAATACGCTTCGATATGAAAGATATAGTCCAAAGCTTTAATGCTCGTCACTGTATACATCTTCAAGTTCATCGCTCTCAGCTTCATCATCTTTGTTCCATCGATCCTCGTCATGACTTTTCTCAGTGGTTGTATTACCATCAGTCGTAAGGGCATCGATTTCAGATTGATTAGCTTTTGAACCCTATGAAAAAAAAATTATAAGCACATTATAACGTAGTTACATATTTTGCACCAAATTTACCTTATACTCATACTAGGTGGCATAACTTTAAACTATATAATATGAGCTAAACAAAAATCAAATGAAATATATGGGTAGTTAACAATAATAAATAGAGACTAAACATGGTGTTTATAAGCAATGACACTACATCTTCTAAATTCTGGAGTCTCTCTTTTGTTTCTTCATGCTCTTGTTCAATTTTCAATCTTTTTGATTTCTCCTCCTTAAGGCGCGCCGTTTAGTACAAGATCGAGGAACTCTAACTCCCATACCAAAGGTCTTTGCATATCCATTTTTGTCTTCTCCCACTATCTTTTCAAAAACTTCATCACGAGCAAGTGCACCAACTTCTACATCTTTCAAATTATCCAACTCCTTAAGAATTAACTCTTGTAAAATTATGAATAAATTACCAATGAATAAGGGTATAAAATTCTAAATATCAATGAAAAAAAATAAGATTTTTCCTACTTTTATTAACCTTTTTCATAGCTGAAATATCATCAATTGTCTTATAACAATAAACATGATGCAAAGGGACCTTGAAAATTTTCGTGTACAAAATTTCCGTGTACAAAATTTTGTACTTCCCTCCTATCCAACACTTTGCGTGTTTGGTGATATATTTTTACTTATATGTTTTTACTTTTTAAAAAATCTACCACAACCCTTAACACCATCTAAGCTTTACAACAATTAGAAGCATTTTGAACCTTAATGTCTGTAAAAGAGCATATTGGGTTGCAAAACTTTTATTGCAACTGGCCTTCAAATGTTCAATTACAAATCATACTCCATAATACTAGTAATAAATGTCATGTCACAATTCACAACTAAAAACCAGTTTTGCTTGAGGGCATTCATTGATACACAACTAGTAGGGGTCTGTTTGCAATTTATACACTTGAGATAACAACAACCCAATGTTCTGAACCTATGAACCAACCCACAAGCATATTGGAAATGACCTCAAAGCAAAAGAAAAAGCACAAAGGATAGTTTAGATTGTACATTAATTAATAAGCCATCATCATCCTAGAACATGGCAGGATAGACACACTTGCTTTGCCTTATTCTTATTCTATCAAATTAACGTTAGCTAAGTACCCGAAGATGAAGAAGTGTAGCCGACATACCTGATTAGCGTGTAATGAGTGAAGAACACGCTCAGACAAAAGAGACGAAGAAGAGTTCCGAATTTCCGATGGTGATGAGTCTCTGTGGCGATGGCGATGTATTGGTCTTTGGCGATGGCGATGTACTGTGTTAGAGTATTGGGCCACAACCACAAGCTTGAGCTTTTGGTTGAGTTGGTTCCTTGACATGGTATTGAAGCCTCGTTGACTAAGAGGTCACGGGTTCGAAACTCAGCGCCACCCAGTTTTAAAAAATTAAAGGTTTCACGTGCAAGGCTCAAAGAGGTCACGCCTTCACGTGAGGTGGCGTGTTAGAGTATATAACAATCATTCCTGGCGATGAGTGCAATTAGTATTCAATTAGGTTATACTCCCGGTAAAAACTTACAGAGTAGTAACTTCCGGACTAGTGGGGTAGGGAGTTTATACAATTTGGTTTGTTTATTGTTGTTATTGTTATTATTATTATTAATTTTTTTAATGGTTTTTTATAATTAAGATATTTAAATTAAATGTTAATAAAATCATTACCGACAGATAAAACGTTGTTGCTAAAACTATAAACAATACCCACAGATATATTTTTTGTCATTAATACTATTAACAATGCTGACAGATAAAGTTTTGTCGCTAAAACTATAAGCAATACCGACAGATTAAATTTTGTTGCTAAAACTATAAGCTATAGCGACAGATATTACTCTTTTTGTGGGTCAAATAGTTTTTGCCTTCAAATAATTTTATCTGTCGGTAATATTATCTTTTTAGCGACAAATAACATTTCTGTCGCTAAGGATCTGTCGGTACTTTTGTAGAGGAGATCAAGTAATCCATGCATTATTCAAAACAAAGAACAAAATCATAAAAGTTTGCAGTTCTATTTGCAACATACCAAAAAAATTGTAATATACCCAAAAAATCACCTTTTGGTAGCATACCAAAAAAATTGCAGTAGATGAAAAAAATTGAAGATTCTTTCAACATACCCATATATATATATATATACACACACACACACACACACACACACACATATTATACAAAAAAATTGAGATTCTTGCAACATACCAAAATAAAAATTTCAATAGATGAAAAGTCAGATTCATGTTTATTTTTTTGTAGAATGTACCACAATATGTACCGTCATTACATAATTGCAGCATACAAAAAATGTGGTATACCAAAAAAATTACACAATACCAAAAAAATTTACAATATACCAAAAAATTTAGAAGAAACAAATTAAAACTTGAGTTTCGTAGGAGCAACTGAAGAAGATGACATAGGAATAAAATTTCTACTATTATTCTTGTGTCTTCTCACCATTTTGATTGAGTCGGCACCTAATATCGATGAACGGTGAAAGAGTGCAAGAGCGAAAGAGAAAGGGGGGAGAGAGAGAGAGACTGGAATGTTACTAAATCTAGATTAGGTTTTACGCCTTTTGAGTTTTGAGAAGCCTAATGCATATATCATATTTTAAATGAATATATAAAACTAAATAACTAATAAAAGTAAATAATTAAGTGCATAACCCGTCGAGTCAAACCCGATCCGACCCATTCTGATCTAAAACTTTAACGGGTCTTTGGGTTCGAGTCATTTCGGGTTCAGGTCACAAAATTGAAGTTCAAAACCCGCTAATTTAGGTCAGGTTTCGAATTAATAACGAGTCAAGTCAAATTTTTTCGGGTCTAGTTCTCGTGATACTATGCCAAGGTCTTCGCCAACTAAGCTAGAAGGGATTTTATAGAAATTTGATTAAAATAGTGTAATATTTCGTCACGAAAACAATAAATATTATAAAAAGATTTATTTGATATTTTTGGTAAGGCTTTAAAATATAATCTCATAACCTGAACTCAAACTCATAACATATTACTCCGTATATATCATGGGCAAGGTTCCGTTGACACTGTCATCCAGTATTAATCAATTTGACATTCCCATATTTCTAGTATCTATGGTGGTCGAAATGAAAAATTGATAGTTCCTATCCCCATTAACCCACCCCCTAATTAAATCCCCCCATCGCACCCCACCCCTAATTATTGTGTAATGCATAATAGCCACACACTTGGAGGGGTAAAATGGGGAGTCTAGGGCGGAGGTGCGGGATGGGACTAGGGTGGGAGATTTATGGGGTGGGTTAGGGGGTTAGAACCCATCATTTTTGGGAACGGGGCACATGAGGTGTTCGAAACATGCGAGTGGTATCCGTTGAAACATATACAGTATTTGATAATTTGATATTAACAATTCCTATTTGCAATGCCAAACAGGTCCATTGATGCGTCATAATCACAAAAATTTGCAGTAGATGAAAAGTCAGATCCATGTTTATATTTTTCACTCATTATATTTTTTGTACAATGTACCACAATATGCACCGTCATTACATAATTGCAGCATACAAAAAATGTGGTATACCAAAAAAATTACACAATACCAAAAAAAATTTACAATATACCAAAAAATTTAGAAGAAAAGATTTAAAACTTGAGTTACTCATATGAGAAAATGAAGAAGATGAAATAAGATTGAAAAAATTCCACTATTGTTCTTGTGTCTTCTCACCATTTTGATTGAGTCGGCACCTAATATCGACGAACGGTGAAAGAGTGGAAGAACGAGAGAGAGAGAGAGACTGGAATGTTACTAAATTTAGATAATGTTTTACGCCTTTTGAGTTTTGAGTAGCCTAATGCGTATATCATGTTTTAAATGAATATATAAAACTAAATAACTA